TGCCATTAGTCGGGTCAGAGCAAAAGAAGGCTATCCCAGAGCGAAAGAATGATAAGTTGATCTTTAGGGCATGGAAATGCTATTTTGAAGTTGCTGATCGTGAGCATTATATGCAGTTTTGCCCAAAATTGGAATGCGGTGGAGGTTTTTGATTGCTTCGACTTATTTTCTCCCATTTATTATAGCCTATTATTATGAGTCAGCCCCATAATCAGATGATAAATTTAGCCTCGCAAGCCGCGGTTCCTGGATTCCGTGTTGGACAGGGGCAATCAAAATTTTTGCTCTCAGTGCTCTCATCCCGGAATTATTCGGGTAGCGTTCACGAAATGGGTCTTGCGTCTGTGATTTATTCTTGTAAAAAAACATTTTTCTAGGTCTACTACTTTCTTCAGATCGTCAATTTTTGATTTTTTTTCTTCTGAATAATTGATTGATTGCGCTTACAGGATTGTGAAGTCTCTCTCTGCGATCGTCGTCTTTTCGGCAGGGGACTCCCATGATGTTTCTCTCCCGCAGAGGCTGTAACATGATTTTTTATGGCACCGAAGAACAACTACTTCGATTACCCTCATCATCATCGTCGTCATCGCTGGATGATGAAGAGTGTTCGGAAGATTCATCCTCTGCGGTTTCACTCAATCCCAGACTGAATATTTAGTTTTATCCCGAGCGAAGGCTTTCACTTCTCAAGCTTACTCTACTATGTGGACCATCCTGCAAACCCTGTCCACACGCTCCGCGTGCTTGCGTGCTTCCTCGTCGGCGAACACTTGTAGCTTATGATAAGCCGTAGCGCAGGCTACAATGTAATTGTCATTGTAGTTCAACAGCTGCGTTCGCGGCTTATGCCCTAGAAAGAGAAAATTGTTTTGTATGTGATCACTTTGTATGGTACGATGTGTGTTCAACTTACCCTCCAGCACTGCGAGGTCTTTGTCAACAGGGCTGTACTCCTGGTACGAGGCAGAGAAAAAGCGCTCGTATTGAATTCTTGCTGCATCGTGGCGCGACTATAATGGAATTTCTCGTGAATGTTTTCGAATGAAAGAGTTCCATACTCACAGTGTTGCACGATATCCTCAAAGATCCCAGCCCGGATTTGTTCAGGAAGCCCTTTAAGAGGCGCTGAACATTGGTCCTCGTTATGGGCTCACCGTTGTATTTGAGGAAGAACGCGGATGTGGGCTGCTCAATAGTTCTTCGATCTATCCCTTGTTTTTCGGCAATCCTGGAACATAATTTAGTGCGTAAGCAGTTATTTGCTCGGATATCTAGGGGTTTTGGGGTCTGTCGGAAGAATTGACGGATGGAGATGTGGATGTATATTGCCTAAAACGGTTCTTAGAAAAAGTTTGTTCGAGTGTTTAGTTCCCCGATTCGTTGTATGACGCCATGGACGCATCCTGTGTATTTTGTCGGTTGACCAAGTTCGCAGTTCGCAGTTCCTTTGCGAAAGCAGTGCCCAAATATGCTTGTATGGGAAGAGATTTGTTCACTCATAATAAGGGTCGGCACAGGTGGCTTATAAGCAAGCTTGATATCGTTTTCATGGCAAAAAGCAAAGGGGATGTCGTTTTTATGGCCGAAAAGACACAAAAATCGCGTTATTTTGATTAGTCGACTTTTCTCTCGAGTACTTTTTCATTTAGGGGTTATTAGGGGTGGGGGTGGGTTAAAGGAAACTTCGTAAGATTTGCGTTTAGGGGTTATTAGGGGTGGGTCAAAGGAAAATTGTAAGACTCTGCTAAAGTCACGGCGGACATTGTTTTTTTTCCATTTCCGGAAAGTTACCTTTTGCTGAGCTCTGTTCACAATATAAGCTCCTGGAAAAAGGAACAGGCTTGTTCCAAGTTCCAAGGGATTTTGCATTGATTAATTTAGGTTATCCCTATTATGAAACATGCAATTTAGCGATTTTGACATGAACAGGTTTCATTCTCTGGTGCCTTCTA